CATTTGTCCCTTCGTCTACTTCCCTTCCATGTTCTCGGACTGCTTTCCTTTTTGTCCCTCCCTTGATACCTACAAACCTTTTCTTTCCTGTTTTAATTCTCTACCTTGATTCTAATTTCTGTTCGTGGTATTTCTGTCTCCTTCCTGTTCATCCACAATTTTATCCACTTTTTTCTTCTCCCTCTCAATCCTCAGCACCATTAGCCTACAGAAAGTGCTAATGCCAAAAACCAACCTTTTCCTAGACCTTGTGCTCAAATTCTGTTTTCAGTAGAATTTTAAAGCATTCCCCACCATCTTCTTGCTGGAACTCTGACCTCCCCTGGAGCCGTTGTTACATCCTACTGGCTCTCCTGCCCCATGGATGGCTTTTGTTGAGTTTCTGCCCTGAATCCCTACATGCTACCCCCTTAAAACAAGCCCTTTAAATATAAACTTTCTGAAGATTCGGTGTTCAGTTCTGTCTTAACTCTTAACCGTCCTTTGGTAATCTCCTATCTTACAGCTTGAGCTACCTAGCTGTTCCCTTGCAGTGGTTCTCAACCTTCTGGCCCTTTAAATACAGTTCCTCATGTTGTGACCCAACCATAAAATTATTTCCGTTGCTACTTCATAATGGTAATGTTGCTACTGTTATGTAATGTAAATATCTGATATGCAGGATGATCTTAGGTGACCCCTGTGAAAGGGTCGTTCGACCATCAAAGGGGTCGTGACCCCCAGGTTGAGAACCGCTGCTTTAGAGAATGGTTCACAGCTCTACCTTTACCCTCATCTGTCTTTCCCTTGTCAGACCTGTTCCTAACCATATGCTGAGCCTCCCACACTGATATGTTGCAGACACCTTACACTCTGATCTAAATTAAACTCTTTGCTTTCCACTGCTGTGTTTTTGATCTTGGCTAACCAATCCAATGAAGTCTCCTTCCATCATTATCTTTCAAATCATCTCCTTCTGTTCACTACCCTTCTTCAAATAATTTGCTAATATAACAAATAATAACATGTTAAGAGGAAGGGACAGTGCAAGTGAAAAAATATAAGCAAACACTACAAGAGCTTCTGATTTTAATTAAAAGAAAATGTATGTGAAATGCTTATTATTTGATAGAGACTAAGCTCTCAGTAAATGTTACCTAATATTATACAGCAAGTAAAGGGGCTAGAAAAAACTGCTTTTTTCTATGTAGCCTACATAATTTTGTATGATAGCTGATACTAACTTTGAACTGCATTCAGTTTTAAGTCAGTTGGATATGTATTTTTATGATAATTTCAAGAGCAAGTAACAAAGAGTAAAGCATGTGAGGAGCAGCATGATATAATTAACCACGTGCACTATTGATGAGGACTTGGCTTCCCTCTGTACCACTTGATATTCAGCGAAATAAATAATGGTGATAATTGTCAGATTCCTAACAAAGACATCTGCTAAACCAGACAACTCAGGCAAAGCTGTTTGCTACTGACAGCTTGCTTCAAATGTGAATGTTACCATTAAGAAAAAATAGAGTTTTCATATTTATCACATTACCTAATCTGTTGTGTTGGCAGTGTTTCATCTGGGGACCAAAAGACCCAATCATTAAATTCAACGTTTAAACTTCTACATTTGCTTAAGGGACCATTAGGAGATCTTTCCCTTTTTTGTTGTTGTTTTAGTGTAAATGCAATATATCTACACAATAAAAATAAAATCCAACAATGAAGAATGGTAGCAACTGAAGAGTAAAAGTCTCATCCATTCTCCCTACTACCATTCCTCCACTCTAGAGATTATCTTTTGAATCATTTGCTATGTAAAAATCACATGATAAAATAATAAAAATCAACCAATGCCACTTTATTTTATATATGGCCTTGAATTTCAGAAAACTCCAATGGAACATAAAGACTAAGACAGATCATTACATGTTTAGATTTTTCTCTACTTGTCAATCTCATCGTTGAAAAGGTCTCCATTTCAAAGGACCAGAAGAATGGAAAGACTTACTCTCTTTTTCCTCATCTGATGATCAATCACTAAGAAGTAGCTGAAACAGAAAGGTCCCTCATCCTGGGCTGGAAATTGTTGAGGATCCTACTCTTGCCTTCCTTTGGTCCAGCCCCACCCATGGAGATAACATGCCCACTCAGAGCCTGTGTTTCCTCTACCAGACCATATTTGGGGTGACCTGGATAGAAGAATGAATTTCCAGCTCACGTGGTCCAAGCAACTTCCATGGCTTCTTCCCACCGCTTTCCTCACAAGGATGGGGAGGGGGACAGGTCTCCTCCTCCTCCTCCTCCTCCTCCTCCTCCTCCTCCTCCTCCTCCTCCTCCTCTTCCTTGCTATTTTCTGGTATGGGTGGAACTCTGAAGACTCTGAGAAATCTAAATTCAGCCCTAAGCTTTTAGGTTGTTATGAAGATGTCAAGGGAGGAGGATTTATTTAACAATTTTTTAGCTTGACTTACAGCTTTAAAGTATTGAATTCATTATATTCTTTTGACCAGGGCTGCCTTTAATGTTAGGAGGTGGGCCTGATTTGAAGATAATATCATTGTGAAGCTCACATAGTTAAACGCCTTATCATTTGAATTGTGCTTCTAACAGTTCTTTGAAATAAAGGCAAAATAAATCTAACTCTTCAAATCATTAGGGTTTGGTTTTTTTAAAATGAATAACTTTCAATTTCAAATTATTCGGCCCCTCTTTATATCTACAGTTAAAATATTCAGTGAAGGGATATCCTACTAGAGGTAGAACATAAAATGACTTTGTTAATCTTTTTAGAAAATAACGTTCATAGTTTGCACTTCATTTCAAATAGTTATTTATGGACCTCTCATTTTTTCTTCTATCCACTAATTATCTTTCTTTCAATCAATAAGAGTTTTTCAAAACAGAAAATTTTATTTAGACCTACCCTCATTTTACTGAAAAAGAAACTGGCAATACTATGTAAGGGTCACATGATTTTTTTTTTTTAATCGCTGTCGGGATCGCTCTTCTGCCTTTATTTTATTGTTTTTGGACATTTTTTAAAAATATATATATTTTATTGGTTTATTTTATTTTAATTTTATTTTTTTTACAGAGAGGAAGGGAGAGGGATAGAAAGTTAGAAACATCAATGAGAGAAACATCACTTAACTGCCTCCTGCACACCCTCTACTGGGGATGTGCCGGCAACCAAGGTACATGCCCTTGACTGGAATCGAACCTGGGACCTTTCAGTCCGCAGGCTGACTCTCTATCCACTGAGCCAAACCAGTTAGGGCTATTTTTGGACATTTTTGAGTGCCGTGGTTTGGACGGCGCTTTTTATCTCATTGCTGGGTTTTAAGGTGTGTTTTTTTCCTTCTTCATCCCTCTATGACCACTATGAAATTCTAATTTGAATCATGTTTGGATTGAAGCCACCTCTGTATTACTTACCAGGTAAGTGAGCTGAGCGCCTCCCCGAGTCCCTCGCGGCGCTGGCAGGTCACATGATTTTTTAAGCCAAGTCATTTAGGAGTTTTGGTTCATAAAAGTGTGGCAGGCTGAAATTGGTTGGATTTTCACTTTGTAGTTATTTTTTAAATGAATCCATAGAGATGTAAGGGATGGAAAGATTCATCATTTGAGGAAGGGACTTGTTTTTCAACAATAATCACATTTATCCAGGGATCATTTCATTGCTTATTCCGAGAGGGTTCTATAGACAGGGTTTGTGTTTTTTTTCCTCCTCATGCTGTTCTCCATCACCCTGCTATTCCCACTCTAGCCCTGACATATGACCACGGTTAGGTACTTGTGTGTGCATGCAGGTTTCTCTAGGCAAATACAAGGCCTTATATGACTGCTTTTAAAAAATATATATTTTATTGATTTTATAGAGGATGGGAGAGGGAGAGAGAGATAGAAACATCAACAATGAGAGAGAATCATTGATTGGCTGCCTCCTGCACGCCCCTACTGGGGATCAAGCCCGCAACCCAGGCATGTGCCCTTGGTGGGAATCGAACCTGGGATCCCTCAGTCCGCAGACTGACGCTCCATCCATTGAGCCAAACCAGCTAGGGCATGACTGCTTTTTCACTTAACAGCCTTGCAGATCTTTCCTTATCAGTTCAGAGAGCTTTCTATTCTTTCTTGAAGAGTGCATGGAATTTATTCCATTATATTACTATTCTATAATTTATTTTTATTAACTTTGATTTCTTAAGAACTTTATAGTTACAAAAAATTGTGAAGACAGTACAGAGAATTTCCCTCTTTTATTATTAACATTTTACTTTAGTATGGTACACATTACAATTATTGAACCAATATTGACACATTATTATTATTAATTAAAGTTGATACTTTGGATTGCTTTAGTTTTACTATTATTATTAACTAAAGTTTATACTTTGTTCTAATTGCTGTAGTTTTACCATTTTCTGTTCCAGGAGCTCATATTACATTAGTCATCATGTCTCCATAGGCTCCTCTCGGCTGTGACAGTTTCTTAGACTTTCTTTGGTTTTGTTGGCCTTGACAGTTTTAAGGAGTAACTGGTCATTTATTTTGTAAAATGTCCCTGAGTTGAGGTTTATTTTTATACAAATGTATTTTCCACAAAGAAGTCTTTGGATGAATGATAGATTTTTTTTCTAATCATTTACTATTACCAACAATGCTTCCTCAGTAGCAGCACACCTCACAGGTTGCCTCTGCAATGTTGCGTCAGCCACTTCGCATATCTCAGGTAGAGGAGATAAACTCCCAAGGTGGCATGGCAGGTTAAACGGAAATGCTTTTGTAATTCTGACACTATTGTCAAATTGTCTTCCATAAGGACTGTGCTGGTTTATACTGTATGTACGAGAGTGCCCATTTCTTGACAGCTTTGCCAACAAACTTTCAGAGTTTTGCCTGTCTGATAGGGAAAGTTGGTATCTCAGCATGTTTTTTTAACGTTTATTATAAATGAGGATGGAGTATTTTTATACATATTATTGCTTATTGTCAATAGATTTTCTTCCGTTATATTTGCTAAGCATCTTTTTCTCGTGAATATAAAAGCTATTGATTTCTGTATAATAATTTCATAAGTTAGATATTTTAGCTGCAGGATGCTTGTCATGCACCCCATGTTCAATCTTGTACTCACATTAAACATATGAAAATTCTAAGACACAAAATTTTAATTTAAAAATAAAACTTTGGGCAAACTACGGCCCGTGGGCGGGATCCCGCCCATTTGAAATGAATGTTTTCCTCCTTAGAATTTGGCTGCTATTGGAATTAGTTTTTCTGTCAGTGCTAGGTTGCTAGCACGTAGTCGTCAGATGATCACATTATATCATCGAGCAGTAGAGGCATGTTACATTTCAGGTGAATAATAATACAATTCACGGCATAAAGATCAATAGCATATACTCTAGAGTCAGATTGACTGGACTCAAATTCTAGCTTAACCACTCACTAGCTGTGTGACATTAGGCAAGTTAATTAATGTCTCTGAGTTCTTGGCACCTACTAAGTATAAAAATGTACCACTACTTTACAGTGCTCTTTAAATCTTACCAAGGACTTTCAGTTATATTAGTTCACTTTTACCACCAACAGCACTTGGTATATGACTGCTTCACACTTCATTGTCCCTAAAGTGGACTATGAGATTAGGGGATGTGATACTGTCCTGTACCCATTGCTGGGCCATGTTGTTCTATCATACTACCTCTAAGCACTAATCTGGAAATGTATAAACCATTAGTTCTTTCCTTAACCATTTGTAGGCCATAAGCGTCTATAGACACAAGTGGCGGACCTTTTTTAATTAAATTCAAAATATCGTGGCAGTTAACTGGTTAAATATAAGGGTAATCTTGGGGGCACTTTGTCACATTTCTATTTATCATAAGTAGACTTATGAATAATTATTGATATTGTAGAGTGTTCTCAAACATATGATTCTTAATGAATTCAACTTTGGCCTTCTTTATTGTTTGGGTAGTTTGTGTGTTTTTTTTCAACTTTGGCCTTTTATAGACAATGGCTATTCTTTGGTCAGGAATGTCCTCTTGATTAGCACGGATGTCCCTCAGGAGCGGCTGTGGCCTGGGAGGCTGCCCTGAGATAACACAGGCTTGGGATGCAGAGCCCACTTAATTCATCTTCCTCTTGAAGGCATTTCAAATTTTAACTTTCCCCATAAAGGTATTTTTTTCCGCATTTGAATCTATGCTATGCATTTCTCGACTTCATCATTTAATTAAACAGCAATTCAAAAAACCTTCCAAGGTTGATAAGTTCAATCTTTGGGTTAAAGATAAACATATATGCTTTTCCTCTCTCTGGCTGGGCCTCGCTCTTCAGCTGAGACACAGAGCATATGTCTTACATTAGAGAATCTTATCAGGCTCAGAAGATGCACTCCCATTTCCTGCTCATACCACGCTTACGTGCTGCAGAGCTAAATTATAATCATAGCCACTGTGCTATTTTTAAAGTGCAGTTACAGTTGGAGTTCCTGGCTTCCTTCTAAAACCATGACCATACTGCCACTCTCCTCACAGTGTTTCTATGCTGAAATAAGAAACATTTTAGTGCTAACATCCAGTAACCCTTGCTACCTTGCTGAGAAGTTTATTTGATAAATAAGATGTACAAGAAGTCTCTTTGAAAACTGAATAACGTGCTTCCATGTCTAAGTTGCATTCACTTGTCTAACTGAGAAATGGGGTGGGGGTGGGTAGTTAATCTGACAAGCTAATAGAAACAAACAAACCTTGTTTTATAATGAAGCAATAACCTTGATGTATCCTTTAAGCCAGGTGAAGCCGAGGTTTGCCATTTATCTGGAAAAAGGGGAGCTTGCAAAGTTGAGTCTGCTTACTTATTGTCGTGGGAGTTGGAGTTGGCTGGTTTTTGTTTGCTTGCTTGAAATATCTGGCTTGCTGATTACAGTGTTTAAATAAGCTAGATAATGCTGTGCCGTGTAGGTTCAGCCATGACCTGTTGCTGGTTTTCACATGTGAGAGTCTGGGCATAAATCATGCTCAGAAGAGTCCTCCTCCTGGTTTCATAATTCAGCTGAGAGACAGAGTGCTCAAAGGGGAGAGGAGGGAGATTGAAGTCAGACCCAGAACAGAGACCTGCATTTTCGTTATTAATATTTCCATTTGACAGAAATTTTTATCGCTGAGAATATAAATGGGCACAGATAAAAGGATAGGTCAGCCAGCCACAGGATAAATCTCTTTCAACTCAGCCTGGAGGAGAGTCACTGAAGTTGTTCTTCATATGTTTCGCTCTGACGTTCCTCTTCAGAGCCCTAATTTTGGCATCAGAAGTTGGATCATTTGGGTTCAAACATCTGTTGTTTCTGGATGGCTTTAAAATTCCATCGTGAGCTCAAAAATGCTCAAATTGCAAGGCATGTCCTTCTGAGAAGTATCTTTCGGTGTGTGTCTGCCCTGCTCTCTCACGGATCTTCCACGAACACTTCATCTGGGCCTCCAATTTCTGCTCTTTTTCTACGTGGGATAGTAACGTAAAGTGTTTGTTTCTTGCACTTGGATCTCATGGAATGCCTTTCCCTGCTAAGTTTATTCTTTATGTGTTTGGAATGCGCTGGAATGTATGCTAATACTTTTCAAAGTCATCACTTGCTGCTTTTCCCTTTCCTGCTTGCCGTTGCCTGACTGCGCCGTACCAATTTCTGTTAGAACATTACAAGTTCTAGCAAGGTTATTTTTTTTTTTTGGAGAAAGATAAATGCAATCAAATAACCCTTAAAGGGCAAATGTAGTACAACTCCTTTTTCTGAGAAAGCCTTATAGCTTTTTCCCATTCCGTGAAGCACCCCAACTAAGAGGTATCATTACAGGCAGAAGCTGAGTTAGCACAATAAATATCCTCATGTTGGAAAAACGTATTTGATGAGCAGATATTGAAGAGGGTCAAGTTCTTGTGACTTTCCCACCAAGCCACTGAACTCCCTAGCTCTGCATTCTTCCAAAACTATTGAATACGTCTTAAAGTCAAAATGCAGAGTAGCATTTCAGTGGGGGAGACCACACCATTGCTGATTTGATTGGGATTCAGAGTCATTTAAAAACAGCTGGAGCTAGGACAACCCTTCAAGAGTGAGTCTTGGCGCCCTGGCTGGTTGTTTAGTGGTTAGAGCGTTGGCCCACCGACCCAACAGTGGAGGGTTCCATTCCTGGTCAGGACATGTATCTTGGTTGTAGGCTTCACCCCTGGCCCCCATCAGGGTGCGAATGGGAGGCAACCAATCGATGTGTCTCTCTCACTTTGATGTTTCTCTCTCTACCCCATCTGTCTTCCGCTCCATCCTCTCTAAAAAAAATCAACGGAAAAAATATTCTTGGGTGAGGATTTTAAAAAAAAGAGTGAATCTTGACATTGATCTCCCACATGAAGTCAGATATCTAAAGAAAACAGTTTGAGAGATTTTTTTCTTTTGTACACAAACTTCATGTTTTCTCTCTCAGCTCTCTAATTGTCATAAATTATTATAGGCTGTACTATCCTAAGAATGACAGTTTATTAAATAAGTGATTTATAGAAAAACTAAATAAACCCAGGGAAGGTCTCAGCCTTGGAGGGCCCTCTGGTCTTAGCGGCTAATTCTTGACTTCTCAGTATCCGTGCCATTCCCATGGTAGCGGCCGCTCCTTCAGGGTCAGGGGTGACTGCCACGCGGGCCATTAATCTTGGCTTGGCCCCTCTGACTGCTTTATCTCTAGATGCACATAACACGCTTTAAACCCACTCGGCCACTGACTTCTTGGACTTCCCCCCCTCGGTCTCAGCTCTGCTTTTCACAGAAGTAACTGTGATAGCTGGAAGGCTGCCCATCAGAGTGTGCAGTATGGTTTCCACTTTCCTCCAAACTCTTTAAAAAAACATTGCACACACATTAAAGGGTTGCTCTTCTTAAGAAATTTACTGTTGGAGCTGAGAGGGTCATATCAGGTTTGCATCCTGCCTGCTTTTGTTATGTGTAAAAATACTGGCTACTGGATCCCGAGTACCTTGCTGGGCTGTTTCATCTTTGTCTTTGGCAGGAATGGCCAGGCGCTTGTCACCAGGAGCAGAAGGGTTGAGAGCTTACGCCCCGACGTGAGCCCGCCTGTACTGGAGAGCTGGCTCTGCCACGTCCTAGTAAGTGACAGGTGGCCCTTGTTTAGCCCTGGAAGCTTTGGTTAAATAAGATAATGTGTGTAAACCTCTTGGCATGTGTTTTGTGCAGAGTCCTTGCTCAAAATGCCAGCCAGGGGGAGTTGCATGGATCTGTGCGTGGAACCGAAGGGAGGAGGGCAGCTGCTCCTTGGAGAATCTGACCTTCACAGCTTCTGGAGCAGAAAGACTGTTTCTACAGAAGAGCCCAAGCAAACCTCTGACGTAAGTTATTTACACTGATAGCACATGTTTATGCAAACGAGCCAACAAAATCTACGGGGCAGCTGTTTCTTAACACCGCTCCTAGAATTAATAATGGCTGTTTTCAAATCCAAGCGACCACATGCACGGACAGCCCCAGCTCAGGTGGAGCCTGTGAGTCTGTGACGTGGTCAGTGGCTGCACAGTGACCTCAGGCAGCGGCCGGGTGGCCGGGATATCAGACACCTGCTTGGCCTTTGAATCTGGGGCTGGCAAATCTGTCTGGCAAGGAAACTTTTCTAAACCATGGACCCTTGAAGAATGTGGAGAAAGCTATGCCCAGATAAACATGTGTGGTAGGAGGCAGGCGAGGGGGGAGAGAGAAGAGAGACAGAGACTTTGGTAAAGACTCTGAGAGAAATGAGAAGAAAAAGAAGGAAGAGATAAGCCATGAAGCCAGAGTGGGAGCAAAAACCAGAGAGGCAATAAAATACCGGGCTCTGGATTCAGAAGACTTGATTTTAAGTCCTTGCTTTCAAGCTGTGTGATATGGGTAAGTTCCTTAACTTTCCTATGGTTCAGTGTCCTTCTCTCTAAAGAGGCACCACAAGAACACCCACTTGAGGAGGCTGCCGTGAGGCTCAGTGAGAGCGTGCATTGGAAAGCATGGGCCCAGGGGGCATATGTTTTCTAACTTTCTCACCTCATGGCACATTGAAGACCCTTCCTCATATATGGCATTTATGTTTATTTATTTACTTAGGTGTTAGTTTTATTAGCAAGAGGCATCCCTGGAACCAAATGCACATGGTCTTGTCAATCTGGACAGATTCTTATTGCTGTTTTTGCAGGAACAATTGCAGATAAGTGATGCTGGGCAGCTTGTATCTCTTCTAAAGGGCTGGCTGTACCATTTAAAAAATATATTGATTAAATGGTTCAAACACCAAAACAGGAGTCACAAGGCATTCATGTATTCATTCGTTTATTCTGAGGTCAGAAAGAAATTCGATTTTTAGCATCTGGTGATTTTAGTCTAGTAAAGATTTCTGAATACAAGGTACAGCCAACAGAAAGTGGGGTCTTCATTTATCCTATTTGCTAGCTAATACCCAGGATGAAATGGGAGAGGGAGAAAGAATGTGGGGAGAGGGCTGCCTGTCGACACATCAGCAAGAACTCGGTCACTTCTCACATTCTTCCTTCCCCTCTGCTGTGTGATCACCCACGCCTCTGCTGGGATTTGAGGCATGGCCTATTATTTATAGATTGGAATCAGGGTAGGAGGATGGGGCACCAGGTCTACTTTCAGCCTCAGTCTCTAATAACGCTCAAACTCTAAGTAGAGGTTGTGTCCCATTTGCTGCCTTCCCATCACTTCATAGTACACATGAGGGTCACAGACCTGTTCTCTCCGGCTCCGTCTTCCTCTGGGGCAGATAAAGCTGAGATTGCACCATCACAAGCAGTTCAACCAATCGTTATGTATAAACCGCAGCCCTTTTACAATAAACAGGGAAGCTCACAAGCCTACATTAGTCCCACCTTGTCTGCGGCATCAGGGCCACAGAGCCCCTTTCTGCTTGGAAGTACATCTCTGCTCTGGTGGTAAGCAGACGCCCTCCTTCGGGAAAGTATTTCACAAAGATGGAGTGTGCGTGTGATATACAAACATGTATAATCGCTTTAGAAGGGAACTGTCCACTGCACACCCGGAAGCTGGAGCACAGGAAGGCTGAGTGCCACAGTCTCAGGAGAAGCAGTGAGTGCTCAGGCCTGGGATCCTTTATCCCGGCCACGAGGAGCACAGCCCATGTGAAGACAAGACCGGCGAGTTTTCCAGCCGGACGTGCTATTTTATTTCACCAGAGCCGACTGCTGGGAAACCCCTGGAGGCCCTGGCAGCTGCGTCTTGTCTTTAGTATGAAGCCCTGGGTGGGGGGAGAGACGCATAACTCACAAGAGGCACAGCCTCAAGAAGGCCATTCTGAGTAACTGAATCAGACAGAGGGGGAGCCGCTAGTCCATTCCCAAGTCAAGAATGCTTTTTGTCTTTCCTTCTCTCCCTATGGGCTGTGTCCTCATGAAAAGATCATTTATGGCTGTTGGAACGAGTGCATCAGAGCCAGCTTCTGGTTCTCCCTTTTTCTTCTCCCAGCACGCTGTCCTGCTCAAAAGACCTTTTGTTAAAGACAAACAGCAGATGCAGCTCAGATATTGTCAATAATTTGGGGTGGGGGTATTTTATCTTGAATTGGTCTAATACCATTTTTGTGTTGAAAGTATAAATATTCTAGGAAATTGAGAGACCCATACCAAAGTAGTATTTTTTTATATGTATCTCTTTAAAATGATGTAATTTGGGAAGAACTGATCATGTCACTTAAACGATATACAGAAGAAATGGACATACAATGGCATCACAGGCTAGAGTGAATCAGGGAGGCCTTGTGGAAGCGGTAAGATTGATAGAAAGTGCTGGGTAAACATGAGTAGAAGCATGGAGCTAGGAATGGACTTAGCAGGTGCAAAAGTAAGAAGGCTTGTTGATTAGGAACCTTGAGTTAGGAGTCAGGTAGAAGAAAAAGGTGGTCAGGTGCTGCAGAGACTAAAAATTAGATTGAAGATTTGAGACTGTTTCAGTAATCAATTAGTTGCTATCCAATGAGTTCCTATTCACATATATGTGAAAAATATTTTAAATATAGATCATAAAAAGTGCAATCATTTACAATCTCACCAGTCTTAGGACAATGGCGGTGAACATTCTGGTGCATTTTCTTTCACAGATTTGTTAGTAAATTTACTGTCCTAGTTTAGGTGCCCCCGAGGCAGATCCTGAGACTAGGATTAAAGTGCAAGTAGTCTGTTTAGGAGCTGATTCCAGGAAAGGCCAGTGTGGGAGTGAAAGTAATAAGACAGGGAAGGCAAGGAAGCCTCAAAAGTGCATGTTCTCAAATGCATCTGTTGGAATGTAGTCACGTGGGGAGCTCAGAATTATCCCACTGGGGGACCAGGAAGCTGGAGAATTTATTCGCTAACTCCTGTCAGTTGAGAGTTGATTTTGGGGGGCATTAACTCTGAAAGGGTCTCCCTTTTTTAGAAAAAGAGCCCTAAGCAGAGAGTTGCAGGTTTTTGCAGCCAAGAGCCCTCAGTGTGTTGTGGGGATATGGGTGCTACATGAATATACCCAATTTATATTTTACTTATAAAAAAACTAGAGGCCCGGTGAATGAAAATTCATGCACTGGAGAGGGGGGTCCCTCAGCCTGGCCTGCCCCCTCTCACAGTCAGGGAGCCCTCAGGGGCGGGAGGCGACCCAGTGATCAGGGGAAGGCGACGCCCCATCACACCTCTGCTGCTGCCACTGCCGGCAGCACAAGCCTCAGCCGGCCCTGGTTACCTGAGCCTCGGGCGGCCCTGGGTGGCTGGGCAGCCAACATCCAAGGCTTGCCTGCGCCTTGGACCAGCCCTAGGCAGCTGGGGGCTGAGGGGACTGGGCGCCACCATTTTGTGGCTGTGGGCACTGCCATCTTTGAGGGTGTGGCAGTCAATTAGCATATTCCCTCCTTATTGGCTGTGGGCACCGCCATCTTTGCGATGGCATGAGGGTCAATTAGCATATTCCCTCTTTATCAGATAGGATAAGCTTTCTGTGCATCAGGTTTTGTACTATTTGTTTGACTTGTGTTAGCTCATCTAATTTTCACAGCAGCCCTGTAAGGTAGGCACTGCTCTTTCCCCCTGAGGGTTTGAGCCTGGGATTCCAGGCTTATCGCAGATAGGAGTGTCATACTCCCAGAGAGTAAATATCTGAAATCACAAACATGACACACAGAAGAGCTTTAATGATGGCCTTATTCACTCAGCTCCTTTCTTCTGCATATTTTTTCTTCCTTCTGTCAACACAGAGTTTTTCCTTTGCAACTGTAATGTCTCTTCTTTTTCAGAGACATTTGTTGGAAAACAAAACAAAACCTTGAGACATAAAGGATTTGTAATGAATGCCTGTCAGTGGTGTCTGTTCAGCATCTCCTTTCCCATTTTCTTCTGGCACAGCACCTTATTTCATTGGGGAGAAATGATCCACTCCTTTTCCTTGTGGTTTTAAGGGCTGCCAATCCAGTCTTCAGTCTACAGGGGTGAGCTTGAGGTCTAGACTTGGCCAACCTTAGTCTCCATTGACTTGGCCACAGTGTTTAGCTAGAAATGTGTTTGTGCATCAAGCTGAACTAATTTGAGTCTTTCTCTGGGACTTTGTATCAGGCTTTCAGAAAAGAAAGCTGATGTTACTGGACTGAGATGATAGAACCAGGATTGTCTGAACCATGCTCCACTTCCTCTCCACAGCAAGGGTAGAACAAGCCCATCTGCAGTAGGAGAGAATGTTAACAGAGAAGAAAGATGGGGATAGAGGGAGGGAGGGAGGGAGATAGATAGATAGATAGATAGATAGATAGATAGATAGATAGATAGATAGATAGCTCTGACTGCATGGCTAAGTCCCTGCAATCCCCTGGGGTCTACTCCTCCTGGACTCCCCATTGCATGAACAAAATAAACCAATAAACAATAACCTTCTTCCTTCCATCCTTCCTTCTTTCCTTCATGCTTGTTTACTTACTTGTTCATTTGTTTGCTTATTTAAGCTGGTTTGACGTGGATTTCTGTTTCTTGCAACCACAGAATCTTGACTAATTCAGGACCTAGTGCATTCTGACCAGGAAGTGTGTTTGTGGCCCATCAGTTATATATTGGTGTAAGAGAGCAGGGAGGTGGAGAGAATCAAGTTAAGATAAGACAGGAGTGACCTTTTTCCATCCTTCACAATGTTATTTGTCTCCATGATTCCCAGGTCGATTCCAACTCTCTGAGGCATGAAGGAGGCATCTGCCTCCGGGAAGTTTTGAATTTTAATAGCATCATGGAGCACAGTTTTGTATCGACTGCTGCCTTTGCCTGCAGCTAGTGATGGCATTCATCAATTCAAAGTTAACCAATTTGTTTTTCCATCTTCTTGC